AAGAAAGACCTGCAACAGGTCGATTTATCTCTTACATACATGTAATATCAATGAATGTCATATTTTAGAGCATTCAACAACAGAAAGGTGTTTCATCATTATTTAAGTGGTTATATGGATTGTCTCAACATCAAAACTCTGGCCATATCATGTTCTTTGGGATAATCTTTGTAGTTTGTACTGATTTTAAAATTCTACAAATTTTCATACCAATTAGTTGAATTACATGTACAATGTCTAGTATACTTTCCTCTGAATTACCGCCTTGCCTATAGATGTAAGTATTGCAGGCACAGTGGTTCCACTGTGAGGAGTCCTATAGGCAAGAACGCAATTTTTTATTTTTTTTTTTTTTTGCTAACACTTAACCAAGCCCCGCTCTCCAGTTGGCAATATTAATAAATCGAACTGCAAAATGACATTATGAACGTCTGCACAAGACGTTATGATGATGCGGTGAGTTTGTTCTGATCGTTATTGATTGGTGTAAGACATTCATGCAATATACCCGGAAGGAGATGACGTCATCTGATATGTAAGCGGGCTTCATGAACTACTCGTGCCCTTTTACGTGTGCTGTTCTCCAGTGTTTAAGACCAAGTGATGTTATGTAGTCAAGACATTTCCCTCTTCCGGCAAGGGCCGGTAATTCTGCGAATAGACAAATTACTAGTCAATAATCAATGTAGACAATTAATGATTCAATTAATGGAATGAAAAGAAATATGGTTTAACGTCCTAATTTTCTGCACCAACTGGGATAATGAAGATGAGCATACACCATACAAGGTGCTATTAGGTAAATTTTGCCCGGACAGCAATTGAATTCCAAACGACTAGATAGTAAATAATCAAATGATATGGGGTTTAACGTCCTACTTTTCTGCTCTGACTGGGCTTATGAAGACAGGCATACCATGCAGGGTGCTATGAGGGAAATTTTGCCTGGACAACGGAGCTATGGCCTACTCTTATATCGAATTCCAACTACCAAGGTTTCTTTTATGAGCATGTCAATGTGTACAAAGGACCTCCATTTTTCGTTTCATATGAACGACTATACGCTGTTCCTTGCCAGGCCTTCCTTCCTACCCTACTAACTAGGGGGAACCACACCGGAAAATCCTAATAAACTTTCTCGTCCAACACTAGGGTCGAACACAGAACCTCCAGATAGCAAATACCCATGTTGTATATATAAATATTTACAAATATAGTAAACTATGCTATAGTGATCCACCTGTGCAACCAATGTTTTAAATAACAGATGCTTGTTATCACCTACATAGATAAACAGGATACAACACAAATATAGAGTAAATTGCAAATGATCAGAGTAAAAATAACCAAAAATGACATTACTTTGAACATATTTAACATGGCAATATTTATTAGTTTTAAGTAAAAGAATTACCGGTAATGCTTAATGCTGAAAGTTTCATACCTAAGTTTTAGAAAAAGAATTAATGCTTAAACATCAAAATATCAACTGAAAGTTTAATAACTAAGAAAGTTTTAAGAAAAAGAATTAAAGCTTAAAAATCATAATTGCAAATGAAAGTTTCATACCTATATTTTAAGAAAAGTAATTAATGCTTACTGCTTTAAGTTTTAAGAAAAATAATTAATGCTTACAAATCAAAATATCAATTGAAAGTTTCATACCTAGTCATTAAAAAAGTTCTTAATATATCACCTGAAAACTATTTACAGGGTTTTCAGCATACTCTCGGACTCTGTATTTGGGTGTTTTTCTCTCTATGAAATGTTTCACACTCAAACTATTCATCTTGAATGTGTCATAGAATTGATGAATTACTATAGAATGACACAAATACTAGGATAATACAAATAGTTCTATGTGAGTCAGATCTGCAGGCAAGAGATTATTCTTTATAATGGTACCATGGTGTGTACAGTCATAATCTACTAATTATACTAGTCAATGCCAAGTGCCAAATAAAGCTACCACCATCATCAAAAACATTCTACTGATTAATCTAAACCAATTTCAACCTTCAATAATTGCTGAAGTACATTAAATTTCACTTTGAATATACATACTTAGGCCTACACGAATAACTGTTGGAAGGAAAATTATAAAAGCAGTTGGACCTAACAAATTCATTTGCAAGATTTTACACCGGTAGTCGAGAGAGAGGTTGAGAGAGGCTGGGAGAAACAGAGGTTTAATTCCACAAACCAGGTCGTTTCAGGACTACAATATGGTATAATTTCATTTCAATAATTCGCTTGGGCATAAAGAGTCTTTTGCAGTGGATGAAAACAGGAGAAACCAGCAAAAAACCCAAATGTTGGACAGACAACCCTGCTCCTTGGATCGAAACCATGCCATTTGACTCAATGACAGATCTTACAATGTAAAAGATACAGACAGAAGCTGTTAGTAAAACTATTTCAGTTTATCTTGGAAGCAATGTGCAATTTGTCATTCAGCTAAAGAACTGACCACTAACGATACTAAAGCAACTTACATGTACCATGTATTGCTAGTAGTAGAATCTATCTGACGAGACTAGATGTAATTAACAACCTCATTAATTGTACCGTTTGCTTGTAAAGCTAATAATAACGTTGACAGGCGAAACTATCAGGAATTATTTTCTACTTTTATTTGTCAAATGATTCATACAATTCAATTTATGGTTATTTGATGATATGGTGAACGCAGGAGACCAATAACTATGATAATAAGCGGATCTGTTTTCTGTGTATCTTCTGTGAAATTATTGTTCATGAAGCTTATATTTCTAATATTAAACAGTTTAAAGGTCAATAAGTTCCTGTGCGCCAGAACCTTTATCCTGCAACTTTCAAGACATATTCTTTTATGATTCCATCAAGTCAACTGATATTTACATCATGCAAACAATTCTATTTCCCTTTTGGCGTAAAGAGGCATTAGGCCTATGCTCAAAAGCATGTGGCAAACCTTATGATCAAATTTTGTGCATTACAGAATCTTCAATTCATGTTATGAAGAGTATAAACTAATAATTTACAAAATAAATAAACTGCACTCTTTTGAAATCACTGAACTGTAAGCAATACTTTAATCTACATGTAAATGCATCACCCTTTATGGTTGTGGTTCTCTGTCCTGCACTACTGACAAAGGGGAAACCAAGCAAGAAAATCCTGAGAAACTTTCACGACCAACCCTGGGATCCAACCCTCGAACCTCCTGGTTAGGGAGCCAGTGCCTTACTCACTGAGCAGAGAGGACAAATGTCTTCAGTTATCCAGTAAGACTAGGGCTGTGTATTTAAGAACAAAGTGATCATATTAATATAGGCCAAATTTTGTATTGTGATGCACATTGCGAAAAAACCCATATTTTTTTGACAGCCGTGAATATGATAGATTAGTCATTGATTTACATACCGTAAAGTGCAAGTTATATGACAAATGAATGATCAAATTCATATATTCATGTGTAAACACTAAATGAGATATGATTGACAGGTATCAGTGTATATCTATATTAGTCTGTAGATTTCATATTATCTGTTCAGCTACATGTATGAGTCACACAAAATGATAACAAACTTTAAATCAGAGAGAGAGAGAGAGAGAGAGAGAGAGGTAGAGAGTCCTGCATGTCATACTGTTCTTTCTTTTGTTTGAATGAAAAATTATTGAGAGAGAGAGAGAGAGAAATGGAGTTTCCCACTGGACACAAACTGGGTCATTCCAGGACTAACATATACATGTAAATTATGCATTTTGATAAAAGTTTATAAGTAAATTATATAATTATCCATTATGTAGATGGTTGTATTTCTAAAATCTTCTCTTTCTAACTTTCTAGAAATTATTAAATTACTTCTGGTCCAATTCTGTGTATAAATAAAAAGTCTATCAGATAATAACTTTAGCTTCAAGAGAGAGTGTCAAACTAAAGTGATCAAGGGCCATAAATCTGGCAGTAATTATCAGGGATTGCTGAAAATCAATAGACTTCTTCGTTTCATGACCCTAGACAGACACGGACGGAATGAGGCGACAACAATATACAACCAGACTTTAATGTGGGCTTATAAAAACTGTCAAGATCACCAACTTCGAAAAATGACCGACAGTGGAAATTTTGAAGAGGAAGCCCTGGTCAAGATTGCCAATTTCGAAAAATGCTCCTTTAATGTTTCATCAATACAATACTTTGGTCATTTCGAGACTAAAATAAAATGCTTATATTATTCTATGGTCATGTGTGCATTGCTTGATAGGAGATTATATACAACCCTTTACTTGAAAGCCCTTCAGGCCAGTGCTGGATTAACCATAAGGCAAATAAGGCATGTGCCTTTGGGCCAGCCAAAAATCCAGGCCACAAAATAATAAAGTAAAGTGGTGAAAAAAATGCTTGCCTTTATTTTTATGTAAATAAATTGCATCCTTCTTCATCTACGCGTTTGTCCTTAAAAGCTTTCCATACTCTGGCAAAGGGTTGACATGATGTTTCGTCCCTTTACACACGTGAGGTTTGTTTACATTTGTTGTGGGAAAGAATCTCGTAAATAATTTCATATTTTTTTTAAATTTTCATCAATTTCGCAATTAACATTAGATGTATTTCACGTAATTATAAACATGCATAGACCAACATAACGAGTGAAACATTGTCGAAAACAAGCTGATATGACTAGGGAAGCCAAGGTGAAAATTTTGATGGCGGTTCTGTGAAAAGACAATCCTCAGCCTGGTCAGTCGTTGCTAAATTTAACTTAATTCCTTTTGTCAATGAGCCCAACATATCTGTATTTTCAGGCCACATATCAAAATGTGCCTTAGGGCCAGCAGAGCCTTAATCCAGCACTGCTACAGGCACTTCCACTGATCAGTGGTAAGCTGACTTCAATAATGTGATAAATGGAACAAGAACGTTCATATTTATCATCTCAACAGAGGGATGGGGTCTGAGAGACATAAATCTCCTAGTTTGTTCCATTGACATATTTATTGCTTTCTAGACTCACCTTTTCTCCACCTTCTCTAAGAGTTTTGGCTAATTCCTGTGGATAAAGTAAATCCCATGAAACAGAACATTCCATTGGTCGATCTTTCTCTCCATAGAGACCATCAGATTTGGATGCCATGTTTGATATCCCTATGGCAATATCATGGACGCCTTTTCAGTTATTGATGATTTTTAAGAATTTCATGATAATCGTCAGATGTTCCTTGTATTTCATTGTTTGGTAGTTATAATACTTCAGTTATATTTAAATACATTCTGAAATAAAAATAAAAAGACAATTAATTAATTCTACATGATTATTTTATTACTAACAGCTAGCTAAATATCTTCACAACATGAGATTTGGAGTAGAAAGCATGGTTTTCATTTCAATCTAAGGATTTAAGTTGAAATCCTAGGTTTTGTATTGAAACTCATAGTTTTATATTGAAACTCATAGTTTTATATTAAAACTCATAGTTTTATATTAAAACTCATGGTTTTATATTAAAACTCATGGTTTTGTATTGAAACTCATGGTTTTGTATTGAAACTCATGGTTTTGTATTGAAACTCATGGTTTTGTATTAAAACTCATGGTTTTGTATTGAAACTCATGGTTTTATATTGAAACTAATGGTTGGGAAACTCATAGTTTTGTATTCAAACTCATAGTTTTGTATTGAAACTCATGGCTTTGTGTTTGAGCTGAAATTCATGGTGTTGAGTTAAAATCCTTGTTTTTAGAGTTTATTAAACAAGGTTTTCATACAAATGTGCTTTCATTTCATACTTACACGTATGTGTATGTCCCAATCAAAGAAGGGTATTCATATGTTTATAACACATTAAATGACTTCAGTTTGTTCCTTGTAAACTAATGTGATTTATTAGTCATCAGATAAACAAAACACATTACTTCCTATTTATTGACAAGAGTTTCCTATTACACAACTTCTGTTTACAAAACATGTTTACTTGATCGTATTATGACATCTTTTACATGTACCCAGATTATTCAAGCAGTAGGGCTGTCTACAGGAGTCATAAGGCAAAGTGTGAATGTTATAAAAAGGGGACAGAGAGAATGAGAGAGAAATCGAGTTTAACGTCCACTCGACACAAATTATGTAATTCTGGGACTAACACATGGTTCAATTTTATTTCAACAATTCACTTGCGCGTAGGGGTCTTTAGCAGTGGGAGGAAACCGGAGGACGTCCGACCCAGAGAAAACCCACGAGGTTAGACAGGTGATCCTACTCCTTGCCACGTACAACCGGGGAATCAAAACCACGTCAGTTGACTCAATGACAGATCTTATGATACAGCATGCACATGCTAACCATTCGGCCATCCAACCCCCCAGGCATAAAAAGGCAAGGTCCAATGTACAAATTGATATTGTCTGGGCAAAATTTTCCTGTTTGCATTGAACATGACCATATACCCCTCTCTCAAAATGACTGAAGTATTGGACATAGTTTAAAGTAATGGATATTACAACACAACAGAAAGAGAGGGGGTTTAACGTCCATTCAACACAAACTATGTCATTTCTGGACTAACATATGGTACAATTTTATTTCAATAATCTGCTTGCATGTCAGGGTCTTTAGAAGTGGAAAGAAACCAGAGGATCCGGAGAAAACCCACAAGGTTAGGCAGGCGACCATACTCCTTGTCACATTGTTTGACAGATCCTATGATCAACAGTGCATATGTTATACCACTCATCCACCCAACAATCCCCATCCTTAAATAAAATAACAGATGAATTTTGACATATTCTAAACCATTTTCTACTTAAGGTATGAGAATTGTCTTGAGAAGAAGTTATGAGATAAGATGTGTATTTTGAACAGTACGAGTACTTATTACTAATGGGGATATACTGTTATATCTATAGTTAGACTAATATCATGAAAACAATAAAATGGTGGTAATTGTTGTTGGCATTCTTCTCATGTTCTCAATCCATCCATCATTCTTAACAGCCATAACACAGAATAGTTTATGATTGTAGACACTTACATATGGGCCGTCTTAACACATGGCCATGCTGGGCAGTTGCCTTGGGGATCCATGAGCATAGGGGCCCTTTAAGCAATAGGGCCCCATGCTAATCTATGTATACTTAACTACAAATATTTTTCATTGTGTAACAAGTGGATATTGACATTCGCCTTGCTGTACATGTACATGTAGTTAGGGGCCCCAGCATACTGCCTTGCCATATATATATATATATATTTACTTATAGTCATTAAAAGCTACACTCACATAAAGTTTAATTTAAAGTCCCCATCCCTCAAAAACTTATTGGAAAAGGACTGTTTGCATTTTAAAAGAAAAACATTTTATTCAATAGGTGGGGTGGGGAGCATGTGTATAATATTATACAGCCTCTCTGTGATTCATCTGATAACCATGTTTCATGTCTACCTATATCTTTACATCATACATTCATTCTCTTTCATACTGTAGTATGTACATGTACACCCATTCTCTTTCATACTGTAGTACATGTACACTGAACTCATTCTCTTTCATACAATGGGTCTAAAAGCACATAGTATAGTGTTGTATAGTCAGGTTTTCATTTTTTGATTCTATGGAAGAATCCTATAAGGGACTCTGACGTTTTTTTCAAAATTCGGAAGTTCACTCGATTAGTTTTAGAATCAAAGATTTGCGAAAGTTTCTTCAGCATTTTTCATCATTCAAGATGCCGTATCTTTCTTAGTATTTGAGGTATTAAGTTTGAAACTTGGTAGAAATAAGGAACACATAGAGGCCTTCAAAATAGAATACAAATATAATTTATGTGACGGCTTCTGCAAACATCCAGAAATTATCAAGGCCTTCCAATTTTCCCAGAGGCCTTCCATTTTCAAAATAGACTCAAAATGACATACAGTATGGTGGTGTTAGCCCCAGATGTTATCTTTCATTTTTCAAAGCCCTTGTTCAATAACATTTGGTCGCCATATTGGATTTTTTAACAAAAAACCTTCAAACCGATATTCAGCCACCATTTTGATTCCAATTTTTGGGAACTTTTATTTTTTGTTTTGAACTTACTCCAAATGCCGATTTTTTAATTTCGATATTGTTTACTTGAATTTTTCCGACTTTTGACCTACTGTACTATCTGGTGACCTAGCCATTCAATGACCCTTGAATTTTGCATGTATGAAACTTTGAGAAAAATTCTCAAGCGGAGGTACATGTAACTGTAGACAGGCAGCCTAAGTTTTGGATGCCATTAATTGTGGACATTAATATTCAAAGTTCCACAAATGACTTTCAGAAACATTAACTTGGGATTAAGCAGTAATTTTCATTTCTTTAACGTTACATTGTAAATGCAAAAATAAATACGCAATAAAAACTAACAAGCAACAAAGCTCTTGAAAACAGGATCAAATTAAAAACACTATACCAGAATAAACTAGACAAGTCCGGTGGAATCCGGAAAAATAAAAATTATGTAACAATCGCATGGCAAGTATCACATACAGAAATAATTAGTTTTATTTAAAGAAGATAACTAAAATAAATATGCACTAGTCCAACATGATACATATGGTTACTGGTACTACTGGTGCAACCCAGAAATAAATATACGGTCTGATATTACATTTTGTGGGACAAAATCATGTCTAAAAATACAATCTTACTACCATAATACTAGAAAAGATGGAGAAATTCTCATCATGTGACTAGCATCTCTAGTCCTAGTAATAGTATTATGACTCAACACCATACAGCTCCTTCATCTCTTGAAATGTTAATACATGTATGTTACTATCATTTTTACAAAATATCAGTTACAACAGCAATCAATGACTAAAGTACATGTATGAAATTTAAAAATTCCACTGAAAACATTGTCCTGTATTGCATTCACAAACTTTATAAGTCAGATTGCTAATGAACAGATAACTCTACAGAACGAAATTGAAATTAACAATCAGGAATGTTTAAAATTTGATAGGGATCTTTCTTATGCCCTAATGAACAATCTCACAAAATTTCATCAATTTGTATGTAAACGGGAGAGAACAAAAAAACTTCTGGATTTTCATATGGTTCGTTTTTAAATGAAAATAAGTACCAGATGTTCTACAAATAATTAACATATCCTGCCTCGTGCACTATCACACCAATTATTTATGTGTAAGACTAACCTGTCAATTCATCAAAAGATGTCTAATGGTTAACTTTTAATGTAGCTCGTTCTCAAAGCATAAACCTCCAAAAAAATTCTGGATTTTCATAAGCATATTAAGGTTTGTCCTTTTATAAATGGAAATAAGTACCATATGTTCTACTGTTCTAGATAAAAATAATAACACATCCTGCATCATACACTATCCATACCAGTCACTAATACTATAATAGTTTTAATCTAACTCATTCTCAAAGTATGTGCTTCCAATATAAAAATACATACAAAACAATTAACTGAGATAATTTCATCTTAAGGATTATCATGCCTATAAATAACCCAGTGTGTAATACATGTACTAACAATGGACTCAGAATAACATTTGGTCATTTCACTATATAATGGTGTATTAATCACTACAACTCATTGGTAGTGTCATCATTCTATTATAATCTGAAGTACCATTATGATATCATCTAAATATGGATATGATGATAGAACATTCACTCCGTCTTCATTAGCCCAGTAGGTGCAGAAATGTAAAATGTTAAACCCTATTACATTTCATTTCCAAGAACTTGCAATAATCAAAAATACAAGATACAGGAATATTCAGCTATACTATATTTATATCAAATTATCTAAATACAGATATAATACGATAAAACTTGCAATAATCAAAATAGAAGATTACACAGAAAAAATATACAAATCTAAAGTACAAAATACATGTATATGAAGTATAAAATACATAATCTGCAGCACAAAATACACAAATCTGTAGTAAAAAATACACAAAACTGTTGTACAAAATACTCAAATCTGTAGTACAAAATACACAAATCTATAGTACAAAATACACAAAACTGTTGTACAAAATACTCAAATCTGTAGTACAAAATACACAAATCTGTAGTACAAAATACACAATCTGTAGTATAAAATACTCAAATCTGTAGCACAAAATACAAATGATGAAATGTCAACTGTGCTAATGAAGACCTGCATACACCATACAGTGTGCTATGCAATCCAAACAAATCATAGACACACAAACTTTCTGTTTAGGCAGTACATGTACATGCACTTATATCTCAATGTC